GATGTGAGAGGGACACATTGACTGGTTGCCTCCTGCGTGACCCTGACCAGGGCTGGGGACATACCACAACTGAGGTATGTGCCCTTGGCTGGAATCAAACCCGTGACTCATTGGTTTGCAGGCCGACACTCTAACCACTGAGCCAAATCGGCCAGGGCTTTATTTGTCTCTTTTAATGATGCCTTGTAGTTTCCAGTACATAGGTCTTTCATGTTCTTTGTTAAGTTTATTCCCAGATATTTTATTGTTTTGGTTGCAATTGCAAAAGGAATTATTTTTTTTCATTTCTTTTTCTGAAGTTTCATTGTTCATTATAGAGGAAGGCAGTGGATTTTTGTACATTGATTTTTTATCCTGTAACTTTATTATATTTATCGTTTCTAATACTTTTTGGTGGAATCTTTAGGGTTTTCTAGACACAGAATTATGTCGTCCGCAAAAAGTGACAGTTTTACTTTTTTCTTCCCTATTTGTATGCCTTTTATTTTTTTCTCTTGCCTTAATGCTCTTGCTAGGACGTCCAGACTGTGTTGAATAAGAGTAGTGAGAGTGCACATCCCTGTACTGTTCCTGACCTTAGGGGAAAAGCTTTCACTTTTTCACCATTGAGTATGATGCTAGCTGAGGGTTTATCATATATGGTCTTTATTATGTTGAAGTACTTTCCTTCTATTTTATTGAGTGTTTTAATTATATATAGGTGTTGTATCTTATAAAATGCTTATTCTGCATCTATTGATAAGATCATATGATTTTTATCCTTTCTTTTGTTAATATATTACATTGATTAATTTGTATATATTGAACCATCCTTGTGTCTCTGGAATGAACCTCACTTGATCGTGATTTATTATTTTTTTGTTGTATTGTAGTATTTGATTTGCTAATATTTTGTTTAGGATTTTTGCATCAGTATTCATCAGAGATATTGGTCTGTAGTCTTCTTGTGTTATCTTGTGTTATGTATTTCTAGGGACTTGTCCATTTCTAATATTGCTTGTCCTTTTTTTTTGTAATTGATTTTTTAGAGAGAGAGGAAGGGAGAGAGAGAGAAACATCAATGTGAGAGAAACATCCATTGACTGCCTCTTGTACGCCCCCTACTGGGGAACAAGGCTGCAACCCAGGCATGTGCCCTGACCAGGAATCAAACCGGGACCACTCAACCCATGGGATGACGCTCAATCCACTGAGCCACACTGGCCAGGCCATCTTTCTGACTTCTTGAATTACTACACTGTTTTCCAGAAGTATTGTACCAGTTCCAATTCCATCAGCAATACAAAAATTTACTCCAGTCTGACCAATATGGCTCAGTGGTTGAGCATCAGCCCATGCACCAAGAGGTCGCTGGTTCGATTCCCGGTCAGGACATATGCCCAGGTTGTGGGCCCAGTCCCCAGTGGAGGGCATGCAGGAGGTAGCCAGTCAGTGTTCTCTCTCATCGATGTTTCTGTCTCTCTCTCCCTCTCACTTACTCTCTCTGTAAAATCAATAAAGGAAAAAGTAAAAATAAAAAAAAGAAAAAGTTTACTCCACAGAGTTTTAAAAAATTCTGGACATTTTAATTAAATCAAAACATGTAACTAATATATCCACATAAAATGTTAACAGACAGTAATTAAACAGTAATTACAATCTATAAGGCACAGAGCTAGAGAGAACTATAAAGAGAAAGATAAATTATATTCCAAATTCTCCTGAGCAGTTTCTGCCAATTTACTTGGCCTTCTGTGCCTAAGTTTTCCCCATCAGTAGCAGTGTGGCAAAATTAAACCAGGTATCAGTAGGACTATCTGAAATGCCTAAGACATTTCTAATAAAATGAGTAGAATTAGATAGGAATATCAGTGAGAGAGAACATCGATTGTCTGCCTCTTGCATGCCCCTCACTGGGGATTGGGCCCACAACCTGGGCATGTGCCCTGATCAGGAATCAATAGTCGACCTCCTGGTGCATGAGTTGAAGCTCAACCACTGAGCCACACCGACTGGGCTCTGTGTAATCTTTAGAGTTTTCTATATATAGGTTCACATCATCTGTGGACAAAGATAGTTTTGCTTCTTTCTTTCTGATTTGGAGGCCTTTTATTTATTTTTCTTACCTGATTGCTCTGATTAGAACTTTTGTGTTGAATAAAAGTGGTGAAAACAGGCATTTTTGTCTTTTTTCTTGATCTTAGAGGAAAGTTGTCAGTTTTTCATCAGCGAGTATGATGCTAGCTGTGGGTTTTTCATATATGGCATTTATTATATTGAGGAAGTTTTCTTTTCTAACTTAATAGGTTTTTTTTGTTTGTTCTTTTTTGTTTTATCATGAAAGCATGTTGAATTTTGTCAAATCCTTTTTCTGCATCAGTTGAGATCAAGTGTTTATTTTTCCCCTTCATTCTTTTAATTCAGGTACAGTCATCCCTTGTTATGAAGGGAAATTGGTTCCAGGACACTTCCCCACCTCCTGTCTCCCAAGGGATACCAAAATTCATGGGTGCTCAAGTCCCTTGTACTAGAAAATGGCATAGAACAGTGCATATCTTTGGTCCTTGGCACTTAACGGATTTCCAGCTGCAGATTGAAACTACTGTTTTTCTATCTGCAGTTGGTTGAATCTGTGGATGCAAAACTGGCAGATGCAGAGGGTTAATTGTATACTCTCTACCTTTTTCTTTTTCTTTTTTTTAAATTTATCTCTCTTGTTGAATGTATTACAGATGTTCCTCATTTTCCCCCTATTGACTCCCTCCCCGTCCCATTCCTGTCCCTCGCCTGCCTTTCTCCACACTATTGTCTGTGTCCATTGGTTATGCATATATACATATAAGTTCTTTGGTTTATTTCTTCCCATTCCCCAAGCCCCCTTCCCTTTGAGATTTGTCAGTCTAACAACCAATTTGTAATTCTTAATCCCTTCACCTTTTTCACCCATTCCCCCAATCCTCCTCCCATCTGGCAACCAACAAAATGTTCTCTGTATCTATGAGAATGCTTCTGTTCTGCTTGTTCATTTTGTTTTCTACCTTTTTCTTTTGCTTCTTTGCTGACCTTTTAAATGCTTAACTTAGTCCATGTTCTGAATCAAGTTAACTGAAACTAAATGATGCTGTAGTGGTGGAGTTGTTCTAGGAACTAATGAGGAGCTAGATGTAATTTATTCTTATCTGCTAGCTGGAGGTTTTTGATGTACAATCATTAATTTATGTACTTTCCATATGAACTCTCAAGCTTTTTGTATATAAATCAACATGTAGGCCCTGGCCAGTTTGGCTCAGCAGTTAAAAGTGTCGGCCTGTGGACCAGAGTGGTGGGTTCAATTCTGGTTAAGGGCATGTACCTTGGTTGTGGTCGTGCAGGAGGCATCCAATCTATGTGTTTCTCTGACATCGACGCCCCCCACTGTATCTGAAGATAAATGGAAAAATTTCTTGGGTGAGGATTAAAAAAATAATTGACACCTAGAATATGTTTATGAAATGAAGGAAAAGTAAAATGTCTTTATGCATAAGTTGTTTCTTTCAAGTTAAACCATGTTTCAGGGTTCCTATACTCAAAAGAAGTTGCTTCATGATCTAACAGTTGACATTTTCCTTGGTAAAAATTGTGTTCCAAGGATTAATAAGGGTTAATTAATAAGGATTCCAATACAGTGGAATATAAATGAATTTTTTATAGTCTTACCTGGAGAAGCAGCAGCTTTGAGTAGTCTAAGTTACAGTGGGGGTGGTGATGGCAGAGATCAACATTCGGAACTAATGAAGGCATAACTGGAGTTCACTGTTTTTAGCCAGATAGATCTTTCTGTTACATGAGGTTTAAAGGGAAAAAAAAGTAAAGCAGCTTATTACTAAGTGGGGAAAGAAGTATGAAAGTATTAAGTATGAGGAGAACAAAGGAAGCATTATCTATTCTTTAGACTGCTGGAGTAAAGCCAAGAGTGGATATTATAAAGTCAGAAGTTCTTTGAGCTTTTAAAAACTGTAGCTTTTACTGAAATGGTGACCAGAATGGCACCACTTGTAATGAGAAGTGGGCAGAGTCTCAGATCACAACAGAAAGACAGGCAAAGATTATTTAAACATCACCAATCACGTTTCCTACATTTGTCATCTAAGTTTGAAGAGCAAATCAAATTTTTATCTGAGATAAAAGTTACTTTTGTACTATATTAACACATTTCTTCCTATTCTTTTTAAAATTTATTGTAATTGATTTCAGAGAGAGGAAGGGAGAGAGAGAGAGAGACAGACATCATTGGTTGCCTTGCACATGCGTCCTAACCAAGGATTGAACATGCAGCCTGGGTTTGTGCCCTGACTGGGACTTGAACCCACCAGTTTTTGTTGTATGAGACTGTGCTCCAACCAACTGAGCCATCCTGCTGGGGCCATGTTTCATCCTATTCTTTAAAAAAATTTTTTTGCTTTATTAAATTTTAGAGAGAGCAGAAGGGAGAGGGAGAGAGAGATAGAAACATTGATGAGAGAGGACACTGATTGGCCGCTTCCTGCATGCTCCCTACTGGGGACCTGGCCTACAACCTGGGTATGTGCCCTGCCTGGGAATAGAACCGGCGACCTCTTGGTGCATGGGTAGACGCTCAACCACTAAGCCACACTGGCCGGGCTCATCCTGTTCTTTTTAAAAATATGTTCTTATTGATTTTTTAGAGAGAGAGAGAGAAACATCAGTGTGTGAGAGAAACATCAATCAGCTGCCTCCTGCATACACCTTTTGGGGATCAAGCCTGCAACCTGGGCACATGCCCTGACTGGGAATCAAACTGGGACCTCTCAGTCCATGGTATGGTGCTCAATCCACTGAACCACACCTGCCAGGCTTGTCCTATTCTTAAAATAACACTTAACATAAGTTTCCTATTTTGTTCTTGTGCCTCTACTTTGGTTGGTATTTCAGTAAGTTTTTGGTGTTCTCAGATTTTATCTAAATGGATAACTATTAAAATAGAACATAAATACACATTCTCCATTTTATTTTCCTCTTAGGCATGAATCATACAAAACTCAGTATAGAGCAATGTTTGTGATGAATTGTTCTGTCAACAAAGAGGAGGTTCTAAGATACAAAACCCCAGAGAACAGGAAGAAAAAACGAGGCCATAAGAAGATGAGGTCTAATCATGAAGATGCTGCAGAACAGGCAGAGACAGACGTGGAAGAAATCTATCACCCAGTTATGTGCACCGAATGTTCCACTGAAGTGGCAGTCTATGACAAGGACGAAGTCTTTCACTTTTTCAATGTTTTAGCAAGTCATTCCTAAATAACTAAGTTGGCATTTAATTGTCCAATACTGTATATAAGGCAAATATGGACAGTTATTTTCTTCCTGCCGATTCATGTCATTCTGAGTGGTTATTTGAGGAAGTTTGGTTTTTTATTCTTTTTGAAAGAGAATGGTTACCAACCTTCATCTCTCCCTCATCTTAAAAAAAACTTTCCCCAGTTCTGTTGGGACTGATTATTCATTCCCTTTTTGATGGACTTTGGAAACTTGGGGCTTTTTATTTATTAAAGCTCTTTAGAATTAAAATGTTCTGGAGTTATAAGTAATCTCTGTTTCAGAGTGTTTATTTATTTTTTTTTAATTTTTATTTCAGACATACTTTTGGTGTGATTAAACTAAAAACTGTTTTTGAATTCTGTCTGTATTGGTTTTGCTAAGAAGTGTCTTTATTTCCCTTCTACCCCACAGGATGCAGTGACAGTATTTAGTAACTGTTACAATGACATGGAGTTAGTATTGCTGGGTGCCTTGAGCAATTAATGTAGGTCTTTCCTTAAAAGGATTGTACTTAGTAGTATTCTAAACTTAATGAATTAACATAGTGAAATAGAAATTTGTGGTGAGGAGGAGCAGCCTCACCCTCCAGCCTTACACTTAAAAATCCTCTTGTTGCTCCTTGTGTCTGTATTTTTTGCTGATCTGACAACAACAAAATAAGTATACTTTTTATTAATTCACACATATGGCTATTGTGTTGGCTGTTGTCATTTTTTAATTTGACAATCTAAGGGAAAAGAGGTCAATGCCCTTGACTAAAGAGTCAGGTATTGCATGTTTTAAAAATTCTTGCCACACACCAGTTGAAAATCGATGAAGTACATAAACATCTTTAGAGGTAGCTGGGAGGAAATTACATTGTAGGCATCTGTACATTTTAGCTTTTGGACTGTTTGGTCCAAAATGTTTTAGCAAGCCATTCCTAAATAACTTAAGTTGGCATTTAATTGTCCAATACATTGGACAATTATGTATTGGATTGTTTCTACAAACAACATTAGGAAACTCGGGGTCCTTTTGTTAATCTAATAGAGATGTGATGGAGTGGAAAGAAGTCAGGAAGTATGTTTTGTTTATTATTATTTTTGATGGAAGGAAAATTCCGTTTATTCACGAGCTGGCAGCCTGAGAAGATGGACTCTGGTCACAAAGACCATCTTATCCCAGTGCAGGCAGGGGTTTTTAGGAGTGGGTCTGGGGAGGCAGAACAAAGGACACCGGAGGGGGTTGTGGATCCTTGTTTGAGGTTGCAGGGTGCAAGTCAGCAGTCTGCTCTGAAAGCCATCTCGGAGAGGGTCAGTGGTCTGGTTTTCCTCAGTGAAGGTGAACAGATCTCCAGGAGCCAAAATGCCTGAAGGCTGGAGTCTGCTTCCTTAGAGGTTGACTCCTAGAATCCTTTAAGCCAACAGGCTATTCATCCATAGCTACATATGAATTTACCAGCCATCACTCACAGAAACAATGTTAAAAGAGTAGTGGTGTGGGCTACATTGGTAGTCCTTCCTACCCATTCATTGGAACCGGCTGCGGAGGATGCGGCATCTGACGGCAGCGCCAAACCGCTCTCATTTCATGGTTGTCTTCACCTGGGAGCTGACTGGAGACACCGGCCAGAAGGCGGGTAGGTGCGCGTGAAATCTGATTATTAGTGAATGTTTCATGTTCTTATCTTGCCCTTTGATTAGATCTTTTCCCTTTACATATTGTGCTGCATAACAAATTAACCCCAAACTCAGGGGACTAAATAAATATGTTTTACCTTGTGGTTTCTGTGGGTCAGCAATTTGGGGACGTGGCTTAATTGGGCATTTTTGGTGTAAGGTTGCAGTTGAGATGTTGCCTGAAGCTGTAGTCATTTGAAGGTTTGACTGAAGCTGGAGTACCTGCTTCAGAGATGGCTCAGTCACCTGGCTGGCAAGTTGGTGTTGGCTATTGGAAAGAGGCCTTAGTCCCTTGCCACATGGACCACTATTAGGACTGTTTGAGTGTCCTTACTGCTGGCTTCCCCTGGAATGAGTGATCTAAGACTAAGACCAGAGTTTACACTGCAATATGTTTTATGACCTAGTCTTAGCAGTAATGCAGTTACTTCTGCCTCATTCCACTGGACATTCAGCCCATCCATGATTCAGAGTGGGAAGATACTATGTATAAATATGTGAGTGCCAGGAAGCAAGGATCACTGGGACCATCTGTAATAACTTGTAAACCTTATCTAAAAGAATAAATTATCCACTACCTTGGAAATGTGATAATGATAATGCTAATTCACTGTAAGAGGAGTCTTCCATTAGTGGTAGGTTTAAAGTTAACATGAGCCCTGGCTGGTTTGGCTCAGCGGCAGAGCGTCGGCCTGTGGTCCAGAGAGACCCGGGTTTGGTTCCCGCTAAGGGCATGTACCTCCGTTGCAGTTTGTTCCCGGCCCTGGTTGGGTCATGTGGGTGGCAGCCACTTGATGTGTCCCTTTCACGTCAATGTTTCTCTCCCTCCCTTTCTATCTGAACAAAAAATGGAAAATGTCCTTGGGTGAGGATTAAAAAAAAAAAAAAAAAATATATATATATATAATGAACCCCATGTAATTAACATGAAACCCATGTAATTAGAAAGACTTTAAAAATGGGTTGGGCCCTGACCAATTTGCTCAGTGGTTAGAGTGTTCGTCAGTCTATAGACTGCAGGGTTTCAGGTTCGATTATTGCTCAAGGGCACATACCTGGGTTGCAGATTTGAACCCTGACCCCGGTCGGGGTTGTGCGGAAGGCAACCAATCAATCTGTCTCTTTCACATCAATGTTTTTTTTTCTCCCTCCCTCCCTTCCACTCTTTCTAAAAATCAATGGAAAAATATCCTCAGGTGAAGGTTAACAACAAAATGGGTTGGATTTTTTTTTCTTTAATCCTCATCTGAGGATATGTTTTTAAATTGACTTTTAGAGAGAGGAAGGGAGAGAGAGGGAGAGACACTGATTGACTGCCTCCTCTATGTGCCCCGACTGGGGATCAAACCTGCAACCTAGGTATGTGCCCCGACTGGGAGTCAAACACAAAACCTTTTGGTATATGGGCCAACGCTCCAACCAATGGAGTCTTCAGGCCAGACGAATGGGTTGGAATGTGATGGAGCTAGCCTTTAGCTCTATGGTGCAGAAATAGTCCTTGACAGGGCGTTATTTTAATATGTACAGGGTCCAGAAATAGATCTGATGGCTCTGTGTCTTTAAAGAGGGCACGGTTTATAATCATGAAAGGATTTCAGAGATGTATGCTACCTTACGAAGTTCTCTATAGAAAATCTAATGTATAAAACAGATAAACTAGGAATGGTGTTTGAAGTACAGGAAGGTTTTAATTTTTTGAAATTTGAGAGCAATCTTTTGTACTTATATTTCTTTGCAGATTAAAAAATTTTAATTATAGTATTCAGAATCAGAACAAATTAAGAAGTAATGTTGGAGGTAAACACATTGAAGACTCTGCCTAGAGAAGATAAATCCAAATTAAAGCATCAAGAGCTCGGGAAATCCTGACCTTGGAGAGACTAGTAAATTTACCCTGGGTCCTCCTTTGGGCAATTGGAAATTTTCCCCTTGTCCAGTGAATTCCTGGCATTACTGCCTCAAACTTTTGTTTGACTCGATGCAGTTTCTCTCTCTCTCTCTCTCTCTCACACACACACACACACACACACACACACACACACAAACCTCGACTCTTAAATATTTTATTAATTTATGAAAGGTTTGAGTTTAGTAACTTTGCTAAGGTTAAGGGTGGAGCATTTGTAAGAAAGGCATTCTGTTGCATGGTCCTTGTCAGGCTTGCCCACCTGCTATATAGTCGAGGGCTCCAGCTGCTTCTGTCCATGGACTTTGTTACAAGGAGAGTCAAGAGCTTCCTTTTTGCCCTTCTCTCAGATCCACACCCAATCCACACCCAGTGCTGCAGAGCAGTGCTCCTCACACCAGCAGAATCATTATGACCTGGAAACTTGTTAGAAATGCAAACCTTCAGGTCCCACTTTAGGTCAACTAAAATCAGAAACTCCGGGTGGGGGTAGGACTCAGCAATCTTATGTAACAAGCTCTCCAGCTACTGCATGCTAAAGTTTGAGAACCAATAGAAAAGACTTAAAAAAAGGGTCAAGGAAAAATCAAGGGAGAGAACATTTGAACATTCATCCAAATACAGGCACCTGATACTACCTTCGCCCTGCTCCTGTCAGGTGGGGTGTGTTGCTCCTACTTCCTGCCTCAAACACTCTAGTGGTGTGGAATTTTGGCTTTTTTGCCTGATTAGTGCCAGCCATGGCCTCGTCTTTTTCTCTTCATCACATTTTTCAACCAGGCCTGAGGACTGGCTGTATTACAAGGCTTCGAGAGAGCTTGTGGAATGTGAAAATCTGCAGGGTGGAGATCACTGATGAATACTTACAATGATTCGTTTGTAAGGGGGGTGGAAATATCGAGCTAAAAGGGAGAAAAATTTTATTGGCCTTACTACAGATCCAAGAACTGAGGAGAACATAGTATTTATTTACTTTCTTTTTTTTTTTTTAATCTTCACCCGGGGACATTTTTTCATTTTTTGTTGAGATAGAGTGGGAGAGCCCTGGCCGGTTTGGCTCAGCGGTTAGAGCGTCGGCCTGCGGTCCGGAGAGACCCGGGTTCGGTTCCCGCTAAGGGCACGTACCTCGGTTGCAGTTTGTCCCGGGCCCTGGTCGGTTGTGCGGGTGGCAGCCACTCGATGTGTTCCTTTCACATCGATGTTTCTCTCTCTCTCTCTGTTCCTCTCTCTCCCCCCCACTCAACCTAAACAAAAAATGGAAAAATGTCCTCGGGTGAGGATTAAAAAAAAAAAAAAGGAGATAGAGTGGGAGGGAGAGAGAGGAAGAGCGAGAGAGAAACATCCACTTGAAAGGGACACATTGAGTGGTTGCCACCCGCACGACCCAACCAGGGGCTAGGGACAAACTGCAACCGAGGTACGTGCCCTTAGCGGGAACCGAACCCAGGTCTCTGGACCGCAGGCCGACACTCTCACTGCTGAGTCAAACTGACCAGAGCTATTTACTTTCTTACTTAATCCTCACCTGAGGACATGCTTAATGATTGATTTTAGAGAGAGGGGAAGGTAGAGAGAGAGAAAAAAACCATCATGAGAGAGAAACATCAACTGGGGACCGAACCCGAAACCTAGGTATGTGCCCCAACCGGAATTGAACCCACAAGTTTTCCATGTATGGGACGACACTCCAGACAACTGA